AATAGTAAATTTTAATTCTTTTTTCTTTTTTATTTAAGAGATGGGGTCTCACTCTGTCACCCAGGCTGGAGTGCAGTGGCATGATCATAGCTCACTGCGGCCTCAAACTCCTGGATTCAAGTGATCCTTTGCCTCAGCTCCCAAGTAGCTGGGACTATAGGTACAGCCATTACACCCTGCTGGTGTTGAACTCCTGGTCTCAAGCAATCCTCGCATCTTGGCTGTCCAAGTGCTGGGATTACAGGTGTGAGCCACCATGCCCAGCAACAGTAAATTTCAATTTGAAAAAATACTTAATGTGATATTGTCATTGCAAATTTTAAACTCTTCAACTCTGACTCTGAAGATAAAAAGGCACTGTCACCGGCTCCAAGAGAGGGAAATATTATTTCCTAAAACTTATTTTGGAAGACAGGAAAAGAAAAGGTTTGTATTTCACCACTACCTTATGAAGTTTCACTTAATATAATACAACTCTAGATATCTTCATATGTTTGTGCTTTTATATGTCAAAGATAACAGCCCTTCCAAAATTTCATTAAGTGCTCACATGCTGTTTCTCATAAGGAAATTATGTACAATCAATTTACCTGTCACATCAGGTAGCTGGGATATTCCCCTCAATGCCAGTGCCCAGGCAAGTCTAACAGTGGCTTGCAGCCCAGGCAGTTTCCAAGGCTGTGAGTCTTGAAGACGAGAATGAATTGTTGCAATGTACTGTCTCTCTGTCAGCAGGGGAAGTTGATGAATCACATCTGAAAACACAGAAATAGATCACTTTACCAAACACGAGCTAAATAAATTCTCACTTTTTATATACAGGAATAATGTCTAATAGTCAGAAAATCTGAGCATACATACCAAAAAAAATGACTAATTAACATTAACTTTTAACATACCAAAAAGTACACTATTAAGGATCATACACAAACTAAATATGGAAAAGGAAAATAATAATCTTGAATTTTAATTTCACTATTTTCAGTGAATTTTACAAGTATACAATAAAAAAGAAAAAGAAATTAGAGCTGCTCATTTTTTCTGCACATAAAATTTTTTTTCCAGATCTCCCTTTCAGAAAGAATCTGCATATAAATACTAAGATATAAATGAATGCTATCGAAAGGTCAAAAGTATTTTATCTACTTCACAGAAAATAGAGGTCAAACATAATATATTACTGAAATTATAGTCATCTCTTAGAATGTTTTCATGAAAGGTTTGAAAATGTGAACAGTAAAGAAACAAGCAATTAAGTAAGCATGTGTAACTCATAAACATGTATTATATATCCTTTAACACTTTCCATTCCAAATCCCAAAAGGACAACAGAAACAACTGACAAGTTGGTAATTATTTTTTAAATATGATCTTATATCTAAATATTCAAATATGAATGAATTGCACACAAAGGAATAGAATAGACAATTTTTTAATTTTAATGGTTAAAATATCACTCTTCTTAAATGTTATCTCCACAACTTAAAATCTAATTTTTTAAAATAAATGTATGAGAAGGTATAAAATTCAATACCATCTCGTTCCTCTGTGCTTTGCTCTATAAAACTGATATCAAAGCAGTATAGAAGCGCCATAAGAAGAGCCAGATTCACAGCATCCAGCGAGCCATTAGCCTCGACTGTCACTCTTTCCAAATGTCCAATAAGGAGGAGGGTGTCATCTTTGCCTAAAGGTGACTGGCAAGCCCAGGCAAAAAGGCTTTCTGCCAGAGACTGCCTGCACTCCTTGATGAGATCAGAAACCTAGAAATAAAAACATATAATTATCAATATAAATAAATTACAGTGAAGCCTATAATATATTCCAAAATCTTAATATAAACTATTTTTTATAAAGGCTAATGAAATAAACCTATCTGAATCCACAAGTGATCCTAAAAATCTCACCTCTATGATTCTGAACAAATCTTATTGTTTATTCCTCGTCCTTAAGTTCCTTAAGAGATTGGTATGACCAATTTCTTAATAGTCACCAATTTCATTATTAGGTGACTATAATTAATAATT